AAGGACCCAGGAGCAGGTGACACAGGAAGACAGGAACTTAATGAAAAGTGAAAACATGTGCCAGGAGTAGAAATAACTCAGCAGGAAAAACCACGACTAAACTAAGTAACAGAAAACTAAAACATAACAATACAACAGAAAGAAATCATAAACTCAAAATGCTGGGTCGAATGACCCAGAACCATGACAGTGTGAATATCAGTCTTCTTTAAAGAGAGAATGAAAACACTAATGGATTCTCACACAAACACTTTCCTCGTGTTTGACAGGTAAACACACTCACATTATAGACATTGTAGACTTCTAAGTATTTATAAAAAGTAACCAATCTAATGTGGTAATATATGCTACTATAGGTATGATTTCCACCGATGTGCGATCTACAGTAATTTCTTTATTTTTGTACAAGTTTCTCCAATCCTGCTTTAAAACTGGAAATGCCACATTTCCCTGTGGGTAAACTAATAATAACAGTGTTGATGTAATTGAATATATTATAGGTTAAGAAAATGCTATAATTTAATTGTTAAATATGAATTAAACATTTCACAACACATTTATTTAGAAAAAGACAAACAGACCATCCAGTGTCTTTTTTTCTATGTTTGCATTCAGAGGTGAAAAAACACCAGCATCTCACACACTGAGGTTATAATTTGGCATTTACATGCAAAGGCAAACTACTACATGTTTTTAAAGTGAAAAAAAAAATATCTACACAAGAATTTTTGTGTTTCCCCTCACAACTAGAACAAAACATTAGCATTAAACAAATGTTATCAGTCTTCACATGTGAATGCTGGGTTTGATACTAACATGTTATTTCATTGTGAAACATTTAGCACAGAAAACGTGTGCAGAAAGTAGGTTGAACTATTTATAGGACAACTTCTGTGGCAGTGGTTTGCTATTTAATGTCAGTTTAGTTTAGCTTTGCCTAGAAGCACTTTCAAAGTAATAAAGCAAATTAAAACTGACTCTTCTTTTATATGATTTTTAATTTGTGGTTTAATGTATTACAAAATAACTTTCTTTAATGTTGAACTAGACTGCATATGCAACTACATTTATTAACTATGATGAACATTTGTTTCCTGCAGTACATGTAGCCTGTTGCTTGAATGATAAAGCGTAACCACAGACCGACACACACGTATACAGACACTAATTGCTTGGTTTTTACAACAAATATTTTACACTGTAAATTAGAAATGCAAAAAAATGAAGCTCAACAGTGTTGTCTTTATTAAAAATATTTTCCTCTCCTTTTGATCTTCAATGATTAGTCTCATTAGTCTTTTAAATCATGAGAGATCTACATAAACACAAACACATTCTGATTATGTTTATTAAACCTTCACAGAAAAAGATCCATCATGATCAGATAAAAAAAAAAAAAAGTAAATATACACCATCACTTATTATAAAATTTTACTGGCATGCAATCTTACATAAAGAAGGAAAAGAAAAGAAAAATGAGGACACTATTCACACCGTGGATACAAATCAGTGACAGCACTCAACAGTTCAGTGATGAAAGAGTAATCACAGACCTGGCCTACACTTAAAACATCGGTTTCCCTGTCAGACTTTTTTGAAATTTGAAATGAAGAAGACTACCTAGAAAAACCCCTGTTTCTATACTTATGATATAATATAAAAAGAGACTAAAAGAAATATTTGTTTTACACACTTACACTGCAAACATTTTTGCCTGTTTTGGTCACATTCCATGCTTAATTTTTTTACTCATTCAAGAAAAATACAGTAAAGCTTTTCTAAAACATTTCTCTTGATCCCTAGAGACTGTATACATTTAAATTTATTTAGTTTATAGAAGTATTTATATATTTTTACACAGAGGTAGGTTTGGAGTATTCAGCTTTAAAGCCATTCTCATTACTGAGTGAACAAAAGAAGCAGAGGAGGCTTCCTCCCAGTAACAGCAGCCCTGCAGATGCCCAGCCGATGTAGAGTGAGGCTCCCATCAATGGAGGTCCGTAGTAAGACGCTCTCAACATGGTGAGAGTTGTGATGGTGCTCCAGCAGATTGGAATGATCACCAGGACACCTGATATGATGAAGATAATTCCAGAAGCTATAGCCACTTTGCTATTTTTCCTCGTATTTGACACCAAGTTGGTGCAGTTGCCCCCGACAACACCAACCATGACTCCAAAGATCCCGACAATGATGGCAATGACGATGAGCACTCTGGCAGCCTGCAGGTCTTGAGGTAAGGCCAGCAGAGAATCATAAGATTTGCACTCTGTTGTTGGTCGTGGATAGTAACTATAATCAAAGTTACAGGACTTCCACAAACCCTCTGATTTCCTCCACTCAGGGGATCTCCATGTGGGGAGAGCACAGCTGATGATGCTCCCCAGGACTCCGAAAATGGCCAAGACCAAACCTAGAAGCTGTCTCCCGCCAGGTTTCATAATGAAGTTTTCTTGAGCTCTTTAAAGAAGAAAGACAGTGTGTTCTTGAGAGTTGCAGTAATTTAGAAAAGAGCTGGGCAGGAAGTGGTTTTTAGGTGTTTTTCATGATCAGAGGAGCTGACTAGTTTCCAACTCACTAATCATGCTGTTAAAGGAAAAGACAGATTGTTGCCTTTAAGCTGAAAATATTCTCTGAAGGAAACCCAGACTCTCAGAGAGGCATAAAATGTAAAAAGTATAATTAGAAAAAGGTTGCAAAGGAAATCGCATATATTTGTTAATTAAATCTAAAAAAAATTACAATTGAATTATATATTTTTTTTAAATGGTCTGTGGCAATCCTGGTTTAAGTTAATTAAATTAAAGTCTTTAATGATTCAGCATTTTGTGACTAAATACAAACAAAATCAAACATTATTGTTTCCTCATAAATAGAGGAATATAAATTCCTTCATTCTCACTGAAATGTGAGATTTACTCATAGCAGATGCTAATGTAGAGTTCCGAGGAAGAAGATGTGACTACAGAGTATCTTCATTACCAGTAGATACTTGTAGTTCAGTCACTGATATGTAGCTGCAACGATGATAACAGACTCATCTTCATCACCGGATGTTCTCGTTGCAATTTGTTGCTTTGTGCCTGGTTCAACTTGTGATCATGTGTTTTAAATGAAGTGGCATGTCCTTCATGCTCAATTTACTTAAATTTAGAGGGGAACATCCACATGGTCTGAAACTTTTATTCAGTGCAGTTTACTCATCTGTTGGCTCGTACTCAGATGAGATTATCTAATGATCTTCTGTAATCCATGTTCTTCTGTGTGCTCACATTGGATACGTTTTCAAAATCTTCTTCAGGAACTAAAGTTGGTTAATGTGATATGTCCAACAAATTTCTGTCATAAAATTGTTTTTATTGAAACTATATCATCTATACTCAACCTATTCAAGATGTACATGGTGAGATTAGTTGTCTCACCCACACAGAACAACCAAAAGTAAAGGAGCTGCCAGTATACAGTGTCTCTGACTGTCTGTCTTTCTTCACTCTCATTTTGTGTTTAACTCTCTTTTCAGTTTCAGTTAATTTAGTAATTGATAGATTTATTTGTATATAGGTAAACTGATGATGGCCGAGGCCAAACCAAGAAACTGTCTTCCACCGCTTCAAAGAGGAGGGGTGATGTGGTCTGAGTGCTCCAGTTATTTAACAGTGAGCGACAGCTGAGCAGGAACTTATTTTTATGTGGTTTTCAACCACTCGATTGGCTTCCTTACTCGCTCGCTCACATTGCGTGAGAAAGCACACATTAGATTGTACTGATGCTGTAATCTCCAAGCCACAAAATAAATAAACGTATATATCTTAGAACATGTGAACACTAATGTTGTTGACAGCCATAAGATGCATTTTTAAGTAATAAAATATGACTGTCTTAGAAAAACGTTTTGACTTCTCGGGAATTATGGATAAAAGATGAGCCTAGTATGAGAATGCAGGTAAAAACAAGACCTTTGTGCAGTAACTTTTCTTTTGCATGAGAGTTGAAATAGGTTGATAGAGCTCTTAGAATTTGCATATCGTGTAGAACTGTCATTTACACTTCATGCTCTCGCTGCACTGTTCATATCTGGTATCTCAAACTGCATGTATTTACACATGCAGCCTCCTCTTCTCACACTGCAAGGCCCACGTCTCTGCATATAGGACATTTAGACAAGCTGCACAGTGCACTGGACGATCAAAGGAAAGGTGGAGGAGAGAGGGAGAAAATAAAATAAAAGATGGAGCTATATGGTGGCATGCCATTCAGGGAGCAGATCAGAGAGCAATTGTTAATTATAGCAAAATATATCATTTTAAATAAATAAAATTGTTATAATATCCAGGAATCGGGGATGCAAAACTACATATTTCCACTAATTTTCATAGCAATATTTCTAACAACAGTAGATCATAAAACATATCTACATTTGCCACAGATATATATTACATAATCATTAACATTTCCGTTACAGTTACTGTTTAAAAAGGTGGTATTTAGAATACAGTTACTTTGTTGAAATAAATGGATTACACAGCAGTAAAGCTATTTTACACACAAAGTAAAGCTATTTTTCGGCTACGAGCCCAACAGAGAACCCACCGTATTAGCCAGAGGTCCCTTTACTACGGTTCGCAGCCACGAACCTTCAGTAACAGTAATAAATCACAGCAATGGTACATTCATGTAGTTGTAAACAGCATGACAATATATTAAGTAATCCAAAGTATTCAGAATACGTTACTGTCATTGAGTAACTTAACGAATACGTTACAGAATACATTTTGGGGCATGTATTCTATATTCTGTAATGGAATAAATTTTAAAAGTAACCTTCCCAACACTGATCATTATAAACTATCCACCATATAAACCTGAAATTTGTGTGGAACAGCTGATCAAAAAAACACAAACACTATTTTCCATCAGACCACGAGCCATTGTATGTTTCTGTGCCACATGTGTGAATGTGTACATGCCTTCTTAGTTTTAATAGCACACTGCAAGAATCAGCTTAACAAATATCAGCCAACAAACAACTTGTATGCAGTGAGTTGCACATTATGTCTACTAAAGGTCCTCCTGCTGTACGTCCTAAGGTGAGAAAAGAATGAGAGCTAACTTCAGCTGATCACAGCTTGTACACTAAAAAAGTCTTCTGGAGATAAATAATAATAATGTATATTTTATTAATCCTGTAGGAAATTAGTCCTCTGCATTTGGACAGCCACCAATCTAGTACTCTAGGAGCAGTGTGTAGAGATAGTAGTTTGCTCAGGGGTACCTCAGGGTAGCCGTTTGGTGGATTTGAACCCCCAACCTTCCAATCATGGGGCAAACCGAGTGCTTTTTTTAGACATATAATTTACACTGAAATAAAGTTTGCAATTCCATGTGCTAACATTTTATTATATTCATACAGCGCGAGGATCAGTTTGTGTTGCACAAGAATAACTGGTAGAAATGTCCTCAGAAAAAAAAAAACTTTTACTTTCTTTGAGTACATTTCTGAGCATGCACTTTTTCACTTTCACTTGTCTAAATAAGTTGAATAAGTATTTAAACTTTTACCAGAGTAGCTGTACTTTTACTTAAGTGCAGTGTCTGTACTTTTGCGGCCTTTGGTCAAAGCTACATGGGAGGGACCCAGAGAGAGTTTCTCTCATGCTTTCATCCAGAAAGTACTGCTAGATTTGTACTTGCATATTTAAAGTTTGCAGTGATATTTTGTTTGGATTCTCCTACCTTCTACATCCTACCAAACTGCCACTGGCAGCTTCTGCATGTTGAGGCAGCAGGCTGGCGCTCCATGGAGCCCATATGTTATGGTTTAATTTGCAGTTATAGTTAAATCCCCAGGTGATAGCTTTACTTATAGGTTAAGCCTGTTCTGAACTCTGATGATTTTTGTAGGACACATCATGTTTTGAAAATCTCGGCTGAAGCACCTCTCCCCGCCTCGTTGTCACATGAGGTGGGAAGTAACAAAGTACAAATATTTTGTTGGTGTACTAAATTACAATTTCCAGGTACTGTACTTTCCGTGAGTAGTTTTTACTTTTTATTTTTATTAAATAATATTATTATTCCTTTTCAAAACAGTCTTGTCACTTTTGCTTTAACACATTTGGGGGTAATTATTTTATCATCACGTCAAACCTATTTGAGCCTTAACAAACCAACAAACATTAGCAAACTGCACACAAATTGTTTGTGTGCAGTTTGTCACAGTGTGTTGCTAACTAAAGGTCCAGCTGCTATATTTCACAGGAAGAGAAAAAAAAGAGAGCTAACTTCACTCAGAGATGGAGAAAGATAAGAAAGCGCACAGGAGAGGAAGAAGAGAGATTAGATTTAAAGATAAGGACGGTTTATTTAAAGCTTATGTGTAAGTCCTCATGTTTTTAAATCAGATGTGACATTATGTTTTTTTATATTGTGAAACATGTTGCAAAACAAGGCACACTAACAGCTATTTAACCCTTTCATTATGACAACCTCAATATGGATTATTCATCTTATGCATGGAAAGATTGTAGACTGTACATAATCAGTTTCAATATTTTATTAGTGTATCGGTACTTGTAGCTGAGAGTGTATGATGGATTTGATACAGGGCAGGAAATCAAAACAAAATAAAAATAAATGAGTGACATAGATGTAACCATTTTACTGTGCAGAGCAATGCTTATAGCCCGTGCAAAGGACATATGTTGTACAGTAGAGAGAACTTATTAAACTCTACAAAGACATTTAAAAAATTTTTTAATGAATTTTGACAATGTGGTGGTTGGCACTGTTGCCTCACAGCAGGAAGTGCATTCAGTGATCGTGTGTGTAAGTTTCAAGCTATAAACCGATCGCCTGCTCAGTAGATTCCCGGGTCACACACCTGGCTTGGTATTGCCATCTCCATCACAATTTAATGGCTGAAGATCACATTTAATAAAAACAGATGATGTTGTATTGTTTTGCTTCCCAGAGCTTTGCTCTAATTTAACCTGTTTTTCTTCCTTTCATCAACTTTAATTCATTTCATGAAAGTGTGCAGTGATGTTTTTTCTCCTAATTTTTTTTTTTACAGGATCAGGATCTCTGCAGTCTGATCTCACTCACCAGATTTCAAAAACCTCGGGCATCTACCTAGAGGACCAAGGACACACCGAGGTGAAGTTATAGCCATCATCAAAGTTTAATATCTGAAACAGCTTAAAGAAGCATTAAAGAATTGCACTGTTATGCTATATAGGTGAAAGGTTTTATTGCAGATATAAAACTAATGGTTGTGACTGATTCTGTAACACAAATTTATACAAATGCCTTTACAAAGTGGATAAACATACTGCAGAAATGTATAGGTCATACCTAAAAGGGCATTTAAACTACCATTATGACTGGCAGGGACCACATCCTCAGCTGGACTGAGAATATTTCTTCAAAGACATGTAGGATG